AAAAATATAATTAAAAATTTTTTTACAAATATATTTTGTATACAAATTATATTTTGAATTTTTATTGTACTTTTAATTCTTATTTTAAAATTTATAGTATAATATTTTTAATTATTGTACTATAATATTAATTGTATTGATTATCATTTTCTTATTTTATTTTTGTTTTACAATTGTACAATATAATTTAATTAGCTTAATTAAAAAAATAGTGTAATTCTAAATTACTCTTTATACAAATAAAAATTCTGCTCTTAGAACCCTCTACCATCTTGAATAGCCTTAACTAGGGTTTATATGTCTTGCCTTATTGGTATTATCATTTTGGTATTTATGATGTTAGTGTACTTTACGATTGTTTTTATAACAATTTGATGTTCAGATTTTTATTTAGTTAAATATATTTAAAATAATATTAAAAACAGATTAATTGGATTGAACCACACTAATCTGATCTAAATTAGATTGATTTGATTATAATATAATAGTGGGTTAAATTAGTTTAAATATTTTACTAACTAATTAAATTGATTTAATTTTAAAAATATTAAAATCCAATTAAATTCAGACAGCAAACACCTCTAATCAATATTGTTAAGATTACTAAAATTTTAGCTTTTTTAAATAGTGTTTGAAAATATTTGTTTGTTAACTTATTTTAATTTATTAACTATTTCCTCTGTACCAAAATAATTTTATATATCTTTTATTTTAAATTTGTCTTAAATTAATTATCATTTTTTATTTTTTAAGATAGATAAATATTTTTTTCTAATTTACTTCTATGATTTTCTATTCATTTTAATTAATTATTCAATCACAAAAAAATCTCTCTTCATCTTTTTCTTCTCTTTTAGGATATTATAAATAAATACAAGGATTTTTCTATGGCATAAGATAAAGGTGTAATAAATACACTTTTTATAATTAATTTTTATTAAAAGTATAAATATTAACATTAATTTAATTAATTAATCAATTAAAATTATCTACGTGTCAATGAAATTAAAATATATATATCAATTTTTATAATTTTTAATCTAAATTAATTATAAAAAAATATATTTATTACAGCTTTACAATTTAAACAAACCCTAAATACAATATTATTACCAAGTTCTTAAGAAAAAAAAAATAACAGTCATTTTAGAATTGAGAGAATAATAAATATAACGACTATTCTCTTAATTATGCAATAATTAATAATTATAATTATTAATTATTTTTATCAATTAAATATAAAAAATTAATATTTTAAAAATACTATAATATTTTATAATTTTAGTCACTATAATAGTGAGCTTAGCATTGGAAAATGTTCCATTACAAAACGAGATAGTTGTAGGAATTCAAAAGATCGCCGATTAATCGCACCGACAAGGAGTAGCAACGGCCACGATTTGCTGACGCCAATCAAATCTCTAAGCTTTACAACTGAGCCGAGCCGAGCCGCTACAAGCCGACCAAGTAGCACCACCGCTTACTCCAATTTCTCTTCCAAAAACGTTGGTGTTTATATATATTTACCGTATAGTCCTTCCAAAATCCAAATCCTGTCATTTTTTAAACGGTCGAAAACCGGTAAAACCACCGGCTATACCCGGTGCACTGAAAATTGCATTTCGTTTGAATTTTGGGTTCATTTCATTTGCAACTGCTTTGTACCTAACCCCAGTCAGATTCTAACTCTCCCATGTGACCCATCTCTAGTTTTATTTAAAGAGACAAGGGGTGAGGCCAGCTAGGCTGTGATTTCTGAACCTCCTCACCCTTCTTCCCCATTCTTCTCAAGCTCCCTTTTTTCTTCTTCGTCCTGATTTTTCTTTGCAGCAGATGAACAATCTTAGACTACCATAATCTTGGATGTAGAATTTTTATTGGGTAATGATGATGTAGCAAAAAAAAAAGTGAGACAAATTGGTTGCTTATTTACTTCTTGAATTCGGTTTTGAGTTCTTTCTTTATTTTTATTTTTATTTTTTTGAGTTTTTGCTTGTTGGGTTTTGGTTGATGGGTAAGAAGAGGGAAGTAGTATTGAAAAAGGAGAACAAACATGGGGAAGTTGGAAGGGAAGGGTGGTTGTACAGTTGTATACTACAACCTTGTACAAGTTTCTCTAGTTTTGGCCAAGGCAGCTCTTCTTCCTACAAGTGAAATTGCATCATTCACTCTTTTCAGCTCTTAAAGTTTCCATTCAAACACACAAAGCAAAAAACTTTTAAGAGGAAGAAGAAGAAGATCCTGTTTTTAAGAGTTGTTTTCAGTTCTACAGACATGAAGAGACTTGGCAGCTCTGATTCGTTGGGAGCTTTAATGTCCATGTGCCCAACCTCAGGTTTAATAAAGAATCTTAATTTCACATTCACTAATAATGTGTTTCTGTCTGTAGAAAAATAGAAGAGTCCTTTTTTCATTCCCAATGAGTGTGATATGCATTAAGTGATATTTTCGTTCTTGCTTCCCCTGCTTTTGGCATGGAAACAAATGTACTAATTCTGTTTTTTTCTTTGTGTAGATGAAAGCAGTCCGAGAACCAACCATGTCTACGGTAGGGAGTTTCGATCCATGTTGGATGGATTGGACGAAGATGGCTGTGTGGAAGAATCCGGCCATGTCGCCGAGAAGAAACGCCGGTTAAGCGTAGATCAAGTCAAGGCCCTGGAGAAGAACTTTGAGATCGAAAACAAACTTGAACCAGAGAGGAAAGTGAAACTAGCTCAAGAACTTGGCCTCCAACCTAGACAGGTTGCCGTTTGGTTCCAGAACCGCCGCGCCCGGTGGAAGACCAAGCAATTGGAGCGAGATTACGGCGGTCTCAAATCCAGTTATGAAGCTCTTAAGCTTGATTTTGAAAACCTCCAACATGACAATGAAGCTCTTCGAAAAGAGGTATAATTATGAATCAATTATAATCGATCACTGTCCAATTTTCTAGTTCTGAATTCGAAGTCTTTTTTCTTTTAAAGATTTTTTCTGAATTTTTTGTTGCTTGTACCAGATAAGGGAGCTGGAAGGTAAGCTCAATGGAGAAAACACAGAGAGCAATGTCTCTGTGAAGGAAGAGGTTGTTCTGCCGGAAACAGATACAAAAATTTTAGAACAAAGTGAACCGCCGCTGGCTGCTACCTCATCAGAGCCTCAAGAACTGAATTACGAGAGCTTGGGCACCTCTCTTCTCCCCGACCTGAAAGATGGGTCATCAGACAGTGACTCAAGCGCCATCCTGAACGAAGACAACAGCCCCAACCCTGCAATTTCCTCATCTGGGGTTATTATACAGAGCCAGTTCTTGATGTCCCCGGCAGTCACCTCCTCACCATCATCCTCAATGAATTGCTTCCAATTCTCAAAAACATACCAGCCACAACATTATGTGAAGATGGAGGAGCACAATTTCTTCAGTGCGGATGAGACATGCAATATTTTCTCTGACGAGCAACCTCCTTCCCTCCATTGGTATTGCCCTGAACAATGGAATTAAGTAGAAGATGTAATATCTCCGAAGAATCCAAGAAATAAAAGAGAGACGAGATAAGTAGAGAGCTAGCTCCAACAATTTTATAAGCAAGGATCAATCTACACTGTGCAAAGTGAAGATGGAGATTGATCAAGAGGTAGGAGTGAGAGTTGGAGAGACGGACGGAGAGGGAGAGGAGATGGGTTCACGTGGGCGTAGGGGAAAGGTGACGCAAAATGGGGATTTTGGGTAAGGCTTGCGGGAATGCTTACCTTATGTTGTTACTCGTAACTGGAAGTAATCTGCTCCTGTAAATGGAAAAATCTCTGCAATCCATCGTGGGAAAATTCCTGCAATGGAGATAATAATCACCATCATCATGTTTAATTTCCTAGTAGCATTTTAATATTTCTCTCCTTTAAAAAAAAAAATAAAAATTAACTACACTCATGAGGTAATGTGAATTAATTCCTAGTTTTGAAATTAAGTTATAATTCTCAATTTTGGAGAATTTTGCAATTCTGTGTGTCATTTTAGACCCACGAAATTTGGATTTCTCTCTGCTGTTGAGGTCAAAGTTGCGGTAGCTAACAAATATGATGCAACACATATTGAATGCCAGAGCCATCACCGAAGCTAAATTTGTCAATATTGAGTGTTAAAAGTCTACTTCTGTGATGTCTCAATCTTGTTAAAAAGCTCCAAAATGCTGTGGATTTTGGATCAGGAAGATACAAGCGGACGAAGAATTCACTTATTAATTACTTCATATCTATAGCGATTTTGATTTTTTTTTTTTTTCAATAAAAATTGATTATTAATATTGACTAATCAACATATTTTACATAATTTAAAAGAACCAATCAAAATTATATCATAGATATTATAAGATTTTATGTCAATAAATATTGTTGCTTATCATTTTCTTATCTATGGTATTTAGCACATTAGAAAACCAGAAGGAAAAGTAACTGTAAAATGCTTGCTTTTCCATTTCTTGTCCCGGAAATTGTCAAAAGTTAAAGACATCTGTTTCCTAATAAAGAATTGTTTGTTTGTCATGATTTTCTTGCATACTTAGATTTTATTTTTCATTTTATAATTTCTTTTGGTGTGCTTAATAATTAATTTAACGGTCAATAACATAAGTAATTTAATGGTAATTTTTTTTATTGATAAAAAAATCTTAAATTTAAGATACATAACGTGTGACTGAAATAAATTAAAAAATAAAATAAAGTTATCTTCTACATATAATTTAAGAAAAAAATAGTAATAATTAATTTAGCTGCGATAATTGTGTTATACATAGTTAATTTACTTGAAAAGAACAAGGATTTGCTGACATTCAAACGTCTCCCCAAAACTAAAAGATATACAAATAAAATGGAAGAAAATATAATAAAAGAAGAAATTAGAACATCAGTACCATGCAATTGCACAAATAAGAAAGAAGGAAAAATGACACTACAACCACTCAATTGATTTAAATGAGATACAGATATGAGTTAGAATAAGGTATTATGTTGTAGGTTAAGTTTAGGGTTCAAGTGTAGAGGTTAACAATGAAAAAAAATTAATTTTTTTAAATACACAAAACTAGTGTAAGAGGCACATTCTTAAGATTATTTTGGGAAAAAATAATTTTAAAATATGTAAAAACTGGATTAGAGACTAGGGGTGGGCATGGTTTGCTTTCTATTATAATCAAAACCAAACTACCAGTTAACTAAAACTTTGGGTTTTAAAGTTTAATAACCATTAATCAAACTAAAAAAAAAAAACAAGTTTTATTGGTTTTGGTTGCACTTTTGAGAGAAATCATTTGGATCAGTTTTAATTTTAACCAAAGAATTATTTTTATATTTTTGTGATTTTTTTGAATTTCTCAATTATTATTTATTAATTTCTATCATTAAAAAAAAACTAAAAGTTACCCAAATAAATAAATAATTTGGTGAAAGGTGGTTAGAAAACCTTAAAAAAATCTAGAACCATTAAAAATTTATATAAAAGGTTTTTTTGTTAGATTTTTTTTATTAAACTTGCTCTAATCATCAGTTTTTCTATTTTTAAATTTAACAACCAAAACTCAAACTGTTTAAAATCAATTTTTAGTTAAAAAAAAAAAACTTAAAACTCAGTTAAATCCTACCTGTCAATTACAGTTTCATCAATTTTCAAATTATTTTCAGTTACAGATATTTTAACCCACCTCATCTAAGACATTCTCACAATAAATATCAAAGTAAAATAAGCTCAACTAGTACAAAAGCGAGCTTAAAAAACAATAGACAAACCAGAGAGGATACAAATACAACATAGGCTATTTGGTAGTATTTTTATGGCGATTTTTCTAAGATGGATCTTTAGGACACAAATTTAAAGCGTAATAAATATATTTTTTTAGTATATCAGAAAATAAAATATATAATAAAAAATAATTATTTTCTTTTCAAATCCCTTCCACTTGTTATAGAATTGGAATTCAAAATTTTCAACATAAAGTTTCAAATTCATAACCATAGATGTAATTATAGCCACCATTTGTTTTGTTAAGGCCATCAAACTTTATTTAAAAGTATTAATTTAATTTAATTTAATTATTAAAAATAAGTAATAACCAATAAGATAATTAATATTTATTATTTAATAATATAAATTAATCTAAAAATTAATATTTTTATGTATTATAATTATTTATTAAAAAAACTATAAATACTAATTAAATTCTAATCACATTAACAAAAGAAATGGTTCCCATAACCATACTCCTTAACCACTTTGTATTCTAGCTGATGGAAACAGTAAAACATCATTTAAGAGTAACATTTTGGGCAAGTGAAAGGAAAAAGACAAAAGACAAAAGATGATTAAAGAATGCTTAAAAAACAGCGCCACATGATTGGATCCCAATTACAAGTGTCCGTCTGGGGCCGCAGCTTTTTCTTCATACCGTAATACATTACTTTTGTTTTGTTTAATTGCAGGATGTGAGATAATTTGTTTTAATTTTTTAATTTATTTTATTTATAAGTTATTCGATCTAAATTTAAAATTTTTTATTTTTATTAAAAAATTATCAGTAACATATTTAAATTATTGGTAATACTTTACATTTTTATGATGCTAGATTTTATCTTAAATAATTCCACTTACCAATTTCTCTCCTTTATTTATTTTTTTTAAAAGAAAAAGAATATGAGGAAGTAATATTTGAAACTTGAACATGTAGACTTTAATATAAACTTTTTATTTATTCTAAGATTAAGTAGTAACATGTAAAATAAATTTTTTTATATTTAATTCATTTTTTTAATATGAAAATTTTCAGTTAATAATTTATATGCCCTTATTACGTGTGGATTCAATATTAATTTTAAGTCTTATTATGCAAATCTTGGAATAACAAACGGGTTTAAACCTAACCCATCATGAGATCTTGAGCTTCTTAAAAACAAAATTTGAATTTTAATATTATGTGAAAATTAAATATAAAATTTTAAATACAAGATTTGTATTTAATTAAAAATTACTTGAGAATATGTAAAATAACTCTCTTTAGATATTTAACAATTTTCCCCCCACAAAAAAATAGCTCGGCTTCTCGAGAAAAACATTCCAAGATTGTACACAAACCAAACGCAGCTAAAAGTAATTTTTCACTGCAAGTAATATAATTGTCATACTTTAGACTCAATATTAGTAAATACTGTATTTTTTTTTTTACTCTTTTATTCATAAAAAAATGAAAAGTAAATAAAAGTGATATTTTAAAAATCTTATTAATTAAAGAAACATTAAAAGTAAATGCACAATTATTCTAGAATGATATATAACAATTAAAATATGACAATAATTACCAACTATTTAAGCTATTCAATAATTATTTTTTTTATTAAAAGTATAAAATTATGAGTTCGAATCACTTGAGTTCCAAGTCACTAAAGTTGAGCGGTGAACTAGAAGTTATGCCTCATTCAATCAATTAACCCTCACTCTGGCCTTAACTTAAAAGAAAGTAACTCAAGTAGAATCTAAATCGACATGATACATGAATGAAGTGAAATAAAAAATAAAAAAATAATTAATTTTTACTATACAATTAAAATTTAAAAGAAAAAAAAAAGACAATAACCTTTATATTTTTACTAAAAGGGGAAGATGAAGCTAAAAAACAACAAATAGGGCGCCCGATTGTGCCACATACAGCCATGCCATTCCAACACTCGGCCCAAAAAGCACATCGTCTTTTCCTTTTCTTAAGTTTCTTGGTGCGTACCATTGCCTATTTTCCCAAAAAAAAAAAGAAGAAGAGGGTTTCTTCTTTCTTGGTGCGTTTGTGTACGATTTGGGAAGGAGCGGAAAATTAGCTCCCCACTGAAA